TTTTCCAGATTTGGTAGATTTTTTTCAAGTGGATGGTAAGTATTTTTTTCTGGCAGTGGCAACCCTGGTTACAAATGAATTTCAATATGCATTTTCCATCACAATAAAACATAAGTATTTGATATGAATATCTTACAGAAGTATGACTTTTCTGAATTAAAGAAGCAGCTTTAGAAGAATTCCTTCAAAAGCCCTTGCGAACTACGCCCTACAACAGCCTATCTATGAGAAGCAAAAGCAGAAGCCCTTCAATTTGTACCACTCCATATAATGGGAACGAGAAAGGAATGCAGAGTTGAAGGCGATTTTTCAAAATGCTGGAACCCATCGCCTGTTTTTGTATGAAAGTAAAGAACTTTTTAATGTGGATTTATTTTTATGCGGCTTTGAGGAACGCATGTACCGCATAAAAATAGACCTAAGTGTACTATAGAATAGTTAGTGAATAGCTGAATGAAATCGTGTTCATATACAAACATGTCGCTTTTTTAATATAAAAGGGACCAAACAACTCATTTTCTTTCTAAATCAGGCTTTGTGCAAAAATCAGTCACTAAAAACGAAATACATTTTTGCAACTGCTATAGCATTAAATAAATTACAGTGTTGAAACAAACAGAAATTTAAATACATTCCCAACTAAAGAAATTAAATTTGTAAGCAGTTTTTTTAATAAACAAAAATTCTTTAATTTTCTTTCGAAATCCAGCTTAGTACAAACATCTGCGATTACCAACTAATAAAATATCCAACGAAATTTAAAAAGTAATTATCGCAGTATTAGCATACATATGTACGTACATACATATGTATAGTATTTAATAAAAAACAGCGTCTGAACTAAACGAAACTAAATTACTTTAATTTAAAAGTACTGCGTTAAGAAATGAAAATGCTTTTCTATATAATTAAAGTTAATGTTATGCACATATGTATGCAAGTGCAAAGGAAGTAAATATGTGTATTTAGACATTTATGAAATGTGAAAGAAAGAAATACATACATACATACAGTTGTATAGTATGTATACCTCGTTTATAAATTTTATTTGATTTTAGAAATGTTTGCCAAGCGAAAAGCCAGACGCGGTACCGAACTATTTTCAGCCGTCTGGCACGACGCCAAAATAAAAACTTTTTCATTTCAAACAGTAGAACATACATACATACATATCGTCGTTTAAAGTACAAAACCGCGTAACTGACATTTTCTGCCAAAAATTGGATTTGCCCACACAAGCTCTTGGCTCAATCCTTATCCATTCGCCCTGAAATATTCTAGCCAGAAATGCGATTGCTTTATAAAAACGAGAACCATTTTGAAATATGAATATTTTTACGATCTAGAAAATAATTTCTACAACTTCACATACGCGGTTTTGCATTTTGTTGATACGCGGTTTTGCACTTTAAACGACGATATGTATGTATGAACAAGCCTGCATACATACATGCACTAGCCAGAATATGTTTCCGTACATTGTTTTTTTTTTTAATATTTGCAATGTTTTTCGTAACACATTTTTTTCGTTAATTTTTAATAGAAATATAGTTTATTCCGCATCAAGTGGCATATAAATTAATGATTCAAAGTTTTTACAAAATTTAGGAAAATTCGACAAATTTCCAACAAATTTTTCAATTTTTCAACAAAATTTTCAACTTTTAAACAAAATTTTTCAGAATTTTTTTGAGTATGTAGTTTTGTAGTTCACTCAATTTCAGTATCATAAAGTACAAGTTTTAAGTAGCTATAAACTACGGTTGATTTTTGAGAATTTTTTTTGTTTAAAAGTGGAAAATTTTGGTGAAAATTTTTCGAATTTTCCTAAATTTTGTAAAAACCTTGAATCATTAATTTATATGCGATTTGATACAGAATGAACTATATCTCTAATAAAAAATAGCGAAAAATATTGATTACAAAAAACATTGCTAATATTTAAAAACAGAAAACACTGTACGGAAACATATTCTGGCAAGTGTATGTATACAGCTGCGTGCAACTTATTAGCAACGATGATAGTACCAGGTTTACATATAAGTTGATTATCTTCATTTTCGTGCTTAACTCCCTAATCTGTAATTAGAAAAAGCGATAAGCCATACAAAATTCGGCCCTCGTTAATCTGTAATTATAAAATAATCTCAGATTAAACCAATAGCTTTTCGGTGTCCAACCTAGTTTTATCGATTATTTGTGCGAAGAAGAGGAGAAATGTCAAGTGTAAAATTAAAACAAAAATGTGTAAACGTGGTGATTAACAAACGAGCTTTGATTGAGATTATTTTTATATGTAAACATACTAGCCACAAGCCGGTCAATATTTAGGCTACGTTCAAAATATTACAGTTCAAGTTTCTAAATAAATATTATATAAAATATTTGTCAAAAAAGGTTGTGTAATTAATTAATAGCGTCTGAATCGTTGTAGTATAAAACTCATTTAACTAAAAAATATGTTAAATTTGGTAGCTAACCAACACACTCGATCATAGCTTAGCACCTATGTACGAGGTAATTTAACCAACAAATTTTGGGGAATTTTTGAAGGAGCGCTTCTGGTAATGTATTTATTTGGGGTCATTATTGTCAAAAAAAGTTATGTACATATATTAATGTATAGTTTGGGAGTGCTTTTATTAGTATTAAGTATTTCTTTACTGCATTCACCCGAAGGAGGTGAACTGCTAGTGTTAATAAATTGTCAGTTTAATTTCTTATAAAATTTACCTTTAGGTTTATGCATCTTAAGCTTATGTACATACATCGAAAATTTGTTTTAGAGAATCAATGTGAAATAATTGCGGAAACGACTAACCGGATTGCTGGGAAACCGAGACGTCTGCTTTTTCAATAATTTTTGCAAAACAAATAGGCAAGCAGAGCTGTTAAATTTTCATTACGGCTAGTAATATTAAATATTTTTGCATTTTTTAATTTTAATGATTATTTTAATTTTCTTAAATAACCCAGCAATTACTAATTAATTATAATTAAAAATAATCAAAAATAATCATGATTAATTGCCATTAAAAAAATAATTAGAAATAATCAAAATTAATCAAGCTATTTTTTAATTATTTGGTTATTTTTAGTTGTGTTATTATGTTTAATTATTTTATTTTTTTTAAGTATTTGATTATCTTCAATTATTTGATTATTTTTAATTATATGATGTTTTTAATTTTCTATATAATCAACAGTTTTGCCGGTAAATATAAATGTATGAAGAAAAAATACATTTTTTGCCTAAAATATTAAATTTTTTTAAAACTGTTGATTATATAGAAAAACGTTATATGAACAGATTAAAGGAATTGTAATGTTTAATTTTTTTAAATTTGTTTGAGCAAAATCGGACTAGTGGCTCTCGAGTTATGTCGAAAAAAGACCACCAAAGGTGACAATTTCCCCTATATGATAGTTATATATATATCTCAATTCCTAGACGTGACCCAGCGAAACGCCGGGACACGTATAACTTCTTTTTTACCGATATAACTTTCCCCGGTAGTTTGAACCCTTCACGATCACTGACCCCTACCATTTGTCTCACAGTGTTATATGCACTACCATATTATCTACTCACTTTTGAATAAAACTTAAAATACTTTGGCAAAACAGAATTTTACTACAAAGACGATATTTGATAACTTTTACTAACCAAGTTTAGCTATGAATGAAAATTATAAAATCTTCCCTACTAGGTATACCTAATAGTTATATTTATCTGTAGGTTTTTATGTACATACATACATACAATCGTTCTTAATTAGTTGAACGGAACTAAAATATTCGTACATTCATTCATATAAATAGCCAACGTTCTGATAACAGTCCTTTCGAGTAGGCGGAGCCACCAACACTCATAATACATTGACTATAAACTGCTTGTTTAGCAGATTATCAAATCAATGCAAATTTCTAGCAAAGTATGGCCACGGTCAAGGCATATTGATACAAATAAATATGTGGTACAATTTATGCAAGCACAAATTCTACATGTATTACCCTTTTCTAATTCAGTGCTCAAATTTCGGGTTATTCTGCAAATGTAAAGTTTCTAACAATTCATTAAAGTTAATCTATTTAAAGTCACGTTTAGTATCATACTGCACAGATAAATATGTACAAACATATCGTATTTTAAAGTACAAAACCGCGTATCAACAAAATGCAAAACCGTGTATCAAAATAATGCGTATGTGAGGTTGCATAAATTATTTTCTAGAACCTAAAAACACATTAATATTTCAAAATGGTCTCTTATTTATAAAGCAATCGCATTTCTGGCTAGTATATTTCTGGACGAATCGATAAGGATTGAGCCAAGAGTTTATGTGAGCAAATCAAATTTTTGGCAGAAAATGTCAGTTACGCGGTTTAGCAGAATGACGATACGCGGTTTTGTACTTTAAACGACGATATGTAGGTATGTACATACATACATATATGGGTTGTTCACACTTGGCTGGTTATCAGGCTACCTGGTTATGTGGTTATATTTTTTATTCAGTTTACAACAATAACATACACTAATAAAGAATAATAATTTTTAATTAACCAGATATCCTGATAACCAGGCAAGTGTGAACAACCCAATATCCACAGAAGATCGTTATACGGTACTAATAAGCATTGAATAAATTAACGCGCGCCAATCACACCATTCCCCTAGCTATCAGCAACCCTCCGCTTGCATCCACAGATGTTAACGAATTCTCGGAATTGATACGCTGACTAATCGTTCGGTTTTGTTTTGCATTTTTCGTGCAATTGCACGTTTGGATACTTTTCATATATGTAACTACATACGTACATATATGTATTTTTATTCATCCCTAGTACATTACTTTCAGTAGTAAAGCTAATTTCATTAAATTAATTTCCGAATAAATCTATTGTTTACATTTGAACAAGGTTTGTTTCTATTACTTCATTAATCGTTGCTAAAGATTGTGCAAAATAACGACATAAATCAAATACTGCGCACATACCAATCTCTTGCCCGGTTTCCAAGTTCTGCCATAGGTGAACATCACCAAAGCCGCCCAGTCCCAGCTGGCGCTTCAACTGCCATGGACCAAAAGAGCCCAAATTCATTACGAACTCGATTTGAGAAGTCGCGTACAGTTCTTATTATTCTCAATTCTTACACAATTGTATAAACGGCCGGCCGTCTAACTCCCGCACTACTGCCCATCAAAAAAGCAACCATATGAAAATAACAAATTCAATGGAAATAATAAACTCGAGCAATGTCAGTTGTATAGCAGCGCGATAAACAAAGACCAAAACTAGTGACGTGCTGAATCATCGGTATGCAGTACTAATCGGTACCCGATACCGTTTCTATACATAAATTATTTTATTGCTGTTTTATGAAACATAGCCTAACAACGCAATCAGTACAAAACGATGCTTTCACAAAGATAAAAAATGTGAATTTGAGTGAATAATAATAAAATAAAAATTAATAAACCAAAATAATGTAATGTTTATTTAGAAATAAAATTATAAAATTAAATATTATTTGGAATCGCTCTGAGTGGGGACCGAACCTGAGTGATATTGCGTTTACGACTTCAACAACAAAAAAACGTAGAACCTTATTTTACCATTTTAAAATCGCGTTCTCCTCATTTTAAATTTGAAATTCTGTTTTTCACATGAAATGCATTTTAAGTCGATAATGAAAGAGTCAAAATGGTGATTGCAATAAAACACAGTTTTAATCGTTAAAACCTTTTTCTAACTTCTCGATGACTGCGGGCCAATGTCTTCAGATTCATCTACTTAAAACAAAAATGTTTCAAACAAGGAAGAGTTACTCTCCATTGTGGCGCGGGAATATGGATACACATTTTTCATTTGAATCAGCATAAAAACCTCTATTAGTCGTTTACAATGGACTTTTGATGGGCGAGGTTTCCGTGAGCCACTTTTTTTTTTAATTTCATGCACCTTTATTAGAAAACCTAAACATTTCATACCAAGTATTAAAGTAAATTGGTACCAAGCGTCGAGTCATCATATCACTACGCGAGCATTTGAGTGACAGATAACGCACCAGTGCTACCAAGCTCTTGGCAAGAATACCTAAAACAAATAACACTGGTGTGTTATTTGAGGAATTCAAGAGGCGCATAGTGTTGCACAGGAAGACTTAAAAAGTCTCCACTAAAAAGCGGTTTGTCAAAATTGTTTTTTGCTTTTTTTTGGTTCAAACAAAACTTTTCGCTTTGTTTTAGCGTATAAATTAGAAAAATTCGATAAAATTCTACAAAAAATTAGATAATTTTAAAATGCTTGCCTACTTAAATTTTTAATTTTTATAAAACAATTTAAAATTTTCTTAAAAATAGTAAAAATTGTGTCGCACATAATACCAGCGATTCCATCATATATCAATATGGCGTCCAGAAAATCCGAAAAACTTTACTTATATTCAAATTTCCTTCGGGTGCGTTGGTAAACACAAAACCAACGCAACTGTCTTGAATAAAGAACAAATTTCCACTCGTTTAACAAATTACTTGTGCGATGTCTTTACCTCAAGCTCTCAACAAAAACCATACGAAACATTTTCATTATTTCTGTTGCTTGAAAAAGTACATTGCCGTTGCTGTAAGATTAAAGTAATAAAAAATACGAGCATTTGTTGCTTGAGGTGAAAACCGATTTAAGTAACTTTGTTAGAAGAAAATTTCTTATTCATTTCTTAAACGTTTTTTTTAATGAAATTTTGGTTTTTCTTGAGAGCAGGATACAATGATTTAAGTCTAAACATATGTATGTAACTTAATGTAGGAATCAGATTTTTTTGCATATTTTTCCACAATTCCGTTCTCCTTTAATTTTCTTCTTGTGATATATTTCTGAAAAATAAAGTCATAATAATTTCATAGAAAAAAATTATTTAAATAATTGCCCTAACGCTGCGATTGCATAAGAAAATTCCCGAGAAGACAATTTAGAATATGTATTAGTTGTCAAATTGTTGTGTGAAATAGGCGTCCAGATAATTGTAAGGACAATACATTTTCAGCAACCGCCGTTAGTGTCTTTTGGTGTTAATTATATATAGTTAATAAGATATCCGAACACAAACCACTTTTTCATAATTCTGCGATTTTGTTTTTCCTCTTTTTCTCAAATTAACCAATTAACGTGACCGAATTGTCCAATTTACTGTCTAATTCACGGTCTTGGAAAAATCAAAGACAGTGACGAAGACAATGTGAGATTAGTAGAAGACAATGTGTGTTAGTGAAAAAATGTGAATATATTGTACATTTAAAAACAAAATAATTTAATTTGTTTGTTTAAAATATTCTATGAATTCATTATCGATTGTCGTTATCTCAATATCAGATTTCAGCTCCAATTTCGTTCGATTTAGAACGTCATAATCACACAAATAAAAAGAAAGACCTGAGGATTTACAGCCGAATTCATAATATCCCTGTTTTGGAATATCCCGTTTTCATAGAAATGCCATTTTGTAAAATATTTGAATGCCCTTATATTTTTTATCAATTTAAGTGCTGCCCTTGTAATGTTTTTACTTGGCTCCAGATTTTCATCAAATTTATTTGGACCCTAAACTTAATTTTATGAACTTTAAGTAAATTTGAAACGATTCTGTTATAAAAGTACACAGCCACAAAATAATTAATTTAAGCTATTAAAATATTTCTTTTTAAATTTGTTTTTTACTTTATTTTACAAATTTATGCTAACGATTTCGTTTACATCGTGTTATATCACATAATTTGCTTTCTATCCTTCGAGCATTTACATCTCTTTTACATATACATATATATTTGTACACGTTTATGGTTTATTTGCGCTAGACAATCCAAAATTTGGAATCTTTGGAGTTCACGCATCGAAGTAAAAAAATTGTAATTATACTAAATACATAGATAAAAAAATATGTAATCATAACTTTACAATTCAGTAGCTATAAAAATCATTTAAATTACAACATTTGCATATTTAAAGCGGAAATAGTTCATTATAAGTGAAACTATCAAGAATTTTACTTGAGACGGCGCTAAACTTCTTCTCCAAAGCGCGTTCGATGGGTTGTATAACTTCATTGGTAAATAGTTCGAAGTTTTGATTGATAGTCTCATTTATAATATCGCCTAGCGTTTTATCATTGCCGAATAGATTCTGCAAATGTACGTTTCCACTGCCTGTGCGAATCTTGACAACTAATTCTTTTAGGCCAATCAGTTCAACATCGTTCACCGTTGTAACGTTGAAGATAACCTTCACGAAGGCATAAAAATTGGCTATAAAAATTAAAAAATGCGAATCATATTATAACTCAACTGGGAATAGAAGACACTATGAAAATTTAAAATTTATATATGTATGTATTTCCTCCTAACTTACTGAAATTTCCAGTGAACGGGCCGTTACCCCGCAACGTTAAACCCAATAATTGTCCATTAATATTGTAGTTGCCTTCGCCGTGCAGATACGGCAAAATCAGTTCAAAATCGAACCTTCTGGCATCATCAGATGCTCTAAAATATATCAGAGTAATTAATATCAGAAATTTCCAGTCTCTGGCGAAGAACTACCTAATTTTTTTGATTTCAAAATTTGACGATCCGTAAACGTTGAGCTTTTTTACTTTAACGTTAATTCCATTGGCGCCACCTTCCAATATATTCAAATCACCGATATACAGTGGTTCCATAGCCGGAACACCCAATTCCTCAATACCATCAGCCAAATGCGGTCGTATAGAATGCACTGTTTCCTTGACACATTCCGCTATCTTTGGATCATTTCGATGGCAGATTTGGATGTAATCAGCTGTAAATACATATATGTGGTTTTGAAAAGTTTAGGTTTTATAAAACAAAGATAATGACAATTTGCTAAAAGTGCTCTTACGCATTGTTGCAGCATTTATAGGGCATAGGAACGCGAAAATAATTGCAAATGTCAGGAGCAAGACTTTTGGTTCCATTGTTGAGAAATGTGTCCTGAAAGAAAGTTCAGGTAAAAAAAAGAAATAAAGGTTAGATTGTATAAATACTCTATTACAATTAAATTGCTGTTCCTTATAATAAAAGTGTTTTCACCTCAAGATTTTAAATTTGTTAACGAGAAATATACTTTAAACTTTCTTCCTAATAAAAAAAAATTGCAAACATATTTATTTATTTTTTTGCCAGATTCCTAATTGTTTCAACATACTCTGTATACCTACATACGTATTTAAAACAACGACAAACTGTTAGCCTATATAAGCTTTATAGCTTTTGTTCTAGCTGACAATAACACTGATTCAAAACGAAAGCAACCCTAGGGCATGAATGAGTTGGCCATGAGGGCTATGCACACTGCAGGCTTTATTGGCCGCCCATTTAGAGGGCACGCTTGAATCGGATGAACTGCGCCCGACTAAAGACTTGGAAGTGCAGTCCGATCGCGTTCAAACTAAAAAGTCTGCCAATTATCGATCGACTACTTGATCAGCACGGTGCATACGCTGCAGACTTTTTTGACTTTTACCTTATTTTTTAATTTGAAACAAGATGCCAAAATGACGCGTTTTAAAAAAATCTTAGCCTTATAAATTCAAAAAAAAAGAGAAATCCTACTAGTTTAGATGTACTTAATGCTTTTCTTTTTGATTGGATGAAAAGAGAACGCACGCCCCTGTTGCGCGCTTTCGCCACAATTATAACGAGTTGTCCCTTCATGTTATCTACGTTCTTTGTTTAAACTTAAGTATATGCCGTCCCTAAATTGGAGCATTAAATTTTTTACGGTGCGTTACGTGTTAAAGTTGAGTGTAGAACACCGAAATAAAAGACAACTTTCTCGTACGAATTTAGAAGCATCCAAGTTTAGATTTCAACCGAGCACTTCTGAAAATCTACTGTTACGTCTAAGCGCCTTATAAGTTCTCTCCAATTGCACTTCTTCCGGTGTAGAGTTTTTTCTAATGCAACTCTGCTTGTTTTCATGCATAAATTTCTGTTGCGTTAATTAAAATGTTGCATGTTTTAATGTAATATCGTGTTTCGTATAAAAAATAAACATAAAGAACGTAATAAACTATAAGAGGTGTTTATTTTTCAAGTACATTTTCTAAGCAGTCCGCGGATAAGAACTTCGGGGTGTTTTTTTTATTGAGCCCGTTTCAATTTTGTAATTTATATGCTGCCTTCTTAATTCAAGTAAGTAACAATTGTTTAGCAAACGTTTAATCAATTTGATACGTTTTTCCTTATACATATTTATTACGACACAGATTTCAGAAGCACAAATCATTTGCAAAGACTGAAGGAGCACCTATTTGCGAAAACAATTTCCGCTATTTCATTGTGAGTTTCCGGTTTTTGGAATTTAAAAGCCTTCGCAATTAAAATACAAAAAGGAAGTTACATATTTTTATATATTGAGAAAGTACATACATATCTATATAAATCTGTTTAGTACTACGGCTGTAACCGAGGGATGCGTACTTTCACTCTGTAGGACCCCGGCTCGCTTCCTTGTCGGAAAAGCATAAAAAATGTTATTTTTGTAATACTGCTCGCATCCCGGCACCAATAGCACTCCTGCGTAAAACTTTAGGTTTCTTGAAAAAAAATGTAAGCTCCAAATATTAATTAATTGATATACATACGTGGGTCATTTCCCAACGAAGTGCTATTTTTTGTCCCCCCTTTTTAATTTTTTTTTTTATGGGTGGTAAAAACAAAAAGTCAAAAACAGCAATATACGATCCAAATAATAAGCCACCAACAAAGCTGTTTGTTTATTTTTTTAAGCCGTTTTGTTTTATTTTGCGAACGGCATTTCTTTGGAATATTTTACCTACTTCATATAAAAATATTTGTCCCCACACAGGTTATTCGATAATCAACATGAAGAAAAAAGTCTAAACAAAGAAACAATGAGAGGCGTAACTGTTTGTGAATGGCCACTTTTTTATACCCGAGCGCACTTCTGCACAAGGGTATTATAACTTTGTTTACATAACGGTTGTTTGTAACAGGCAAAACGAATCGAGATAGATATAGACAAATGTATACATAAATGATCAGAATGAAAAGAGAAATCGATTAAGCGGTGACTGTCTGTCCGTCCGTCCGTCTGTGCACACGATAACTCGAGTAAAAATTGAGATATCTTAACGAACGTTGGTACGTGAACTTCTTTTGGGCGTAGGACGGATGGTATTGAAAATGGCCGAAATCGGACAATAACCACGCCTACCTCCCATATAACGGTAATTTTAAGAAATACGAAAACTGCGATATTTTAGTAACTACTCAAGATAATTCACTTAAAATTGATACTTACAATGAGTTTCAAACAGAAAACATGAATATTATAAATTTTTGGAAAATGTGCGTAGCCACGCCCACTTATGGTTACATGTGTATATCTTGGTAACCGCTGCACCAATTTCTTCCAAATTTGGCACAGTTGTTGGCCTTAGTACAGTATACTAAATGGCTGAAAATTTTAAAAATCGGACAATAACCACGCCTACCTCCCATATAAGGGTAATTTTCAGAAAAACGAAACTGCGATATTTTAGTAACTACTGAAGATAATTCACTCAAAATTGATATTTGCAATGAGTTTTAGACGAAAAATAAGAATATTACAAAATTTTGGCAAATGGGCGTAGCCACGCCCACTTATGGTTACATGTGTATATCTTGGTAACCGCTACACCAATTTCTTCCAAACTTGGCACAGTTGTTGGTCCTGGTACAGCATACCAAACGGCCGAAAATTTCTAAAATCGGACAATAACCACGCCCACATCCCATATAACGGTAATTTAGAAAAATACGAAATCCTCGATAAATCAGTAAATATTAAAGCTAATTTATTCAAAATTGATGGTTGCAACAATTCTTTACCAAGAAATACGTTTATGACAAAATTTTGGAAAATGGGCGTAGCACCGCCCACTTGTGACCACATATATGTATCTCGCTAACCGTTCTAGCAATTTGTACCAAGCTCGGTATGGTTATTGTGCTTGCCACATAAAAGCAAACCGTTGGAAATTGTTGAAATCGGTCTAAAATTGAGGCCGCTTTTCATATAACGGTAAATTTCAGAAATGCTTGAAATTTCAATATTTCGAAATTTAAGGACGCTAATTTACTTAAAATGTATACACCCCGGCTTATCATGTAGCGGTAGCTTTCGGAAAGGAGGAAAACATATATTTAATACTTGCGCCGGGTATTTAATGTTCGGCTCCGCCCGAACTTAGACTTTCTTACTTTTTTTTATTGTTTTATTCTATTTTTACCTGAACAATTTTATCAACATAAGCGTGGCTTTCTATAATATGGTCCCTATGAATTTTCCTGAATGTCACTTAAGGAGTTTCAAAGATTTCTTTGTTTTTATATTTTCGTGAAATAAGAATTTTAGAAAAAAATAATAATGTTAAAAATCAGTACAATGCTTATCGGTAAGCATATTTTTTTCCAACAGTTGCTAAACTTATTTAATCCTTTAACTTACTTTTAAAAAAGTGATTTTCGGGAAAATATTTTACAAAAATTCAAAAATAATAAAATTGTTTTTGAACAGCCTGAAAACAATTTCGTATTCTGCACAAATGCACCTATTTGAAAATACCTCCAGAAATGGAGTTTTTTTTATGAATAAATAGTTTCTTAAAGATGTTTTTTGAAAAAAGTTCCTTCAGATGACAAAAAACATTTTAAAATCTTTCCAACGGAATCGTAATAATGAGATTTTTGAAGCTGTTTTTTTTTTACTTTTTTTAAAGATTGATTTACCCAATTTTTAATTTATTTATTTTTTTCAAATACCAACACATCTTAATCAACTTGGAACGATGGTCGTTCATCCTACATTTTTCTTTAATCCTTTGAATGAGCTTTTTAGCAAAGAAAGGGCGAAAAAATACCTTTCCAATGATACCTCACAAATCTAAATCGGAAGAGTTTAGGTTCAGTTATTGAAGTTTTTCGTATACCAATCTTTGAATAAGTTAAGAAAACAGCATCAAAAATCCCATTATTCCGATTCCGTAAAAATTGTTTTTCTTATTTTTTTTTTAATACTTTTATGTAAATGTTTTAAGCTTAAACCGTTTGTCATTTGAGGGGATTTTTTCAAAAAACATCATTAAGAAACTATTTTTATTCATAAAAAACTCCATTTTTGTACGGATTTTCAAATCGGTCCAGCTCGCTTAAATCTTAATATTTTTCCGAAATATTTTGGTGGACGTCTGGAAATATCAAAGGTTTTATAATTCCAATGGAAAAACAGTACCGTCTTTTTTCTTTGTATGGGGAGTGATGCAGTGCAATGTATGTACATACATGCTTAAAATTATTTCTGATTTAGAGATTGCTGCAACTTTATATCGTAAGCTGAACGAAAATTTCAAAGCGGCTACCTTGCACATTTTTCAAATTAACACACACTGCACTCGTTTGCGTACGCCAATTTTTTTTTTTTTTAGCAATTTTGCACATTTTTATTATTTTTTTTAAGTATATTTAGAACTTTGAAATAACTTGGTATTAACTAATGCGGCTGCTGAGCTCATGTGGTCACTCCTACGAACATATATATGTATGTATATAAGTATTTAACCCAATAAATTGTAACAGAATAGGTATTTTGGTTCCTCATTTTGGTGGAATCGCCTTAACCCTTTAACAAAAAATAATTAAGACTTAAAATTTTTTTGGTCGACTCAGCGCTGCTTAATCGGTTTTTCGAAAATATCAAAATGGCTTTTATCCATATAAGGCTGTTGACAATAACTTTGTTGTTAAACATATTTGTTACGCTTTTAAGTCACGGTTGAAATGTTGGTTGAACAGTATCGCGGCCACTGTAGCAAATATTTTCATACAAGAAGGATAGCAATTCGGAAGTTATGTATTTCATTCTCTTTTATTTGGCAGCTTAAAATGAATTTTAATGTGCATTTCACAATCAGCAGAAATTTATATATAATCCACACAAGGAATTATACATATATTAGGATAAGTAGGTTTGTGCGTCATAATTTAATAATGAACTAAACACACACTTTTTAATGACATCTGGAACACTTTATAAATGTTGGCAAATAGATGAAAACAACCTTAGTTTTATGCACTTTTTAATTGCATTTTCAGTTTTATGTAAAGTCTTGTTCAATACTATACTCTTTGAAACACTCACTTTTCAATTAAATGCTTACGTTCAAAAATTTCCGTTTTAACTTATGCAATATCCACTTTAGTTCTTATTTGCTTGCTACACTATTTTGCAGGTTTTTCCAATTTGGCAGAAAATAATTTAGATGTTTGTGTGCAAGGCCGAAAATAAGATAGAATTAAATGTATAGAACTCGCAACGAGCGTGAGGTGAACTTGAGAAGAACGCGCCTTAAAGAACGCCGCAATGAACTGAAACAAAACGAGTGCGCGACTTTGCATTTTTATAGAAGTTCTAAGCGCGTCATACTAAGCTGGCTTGTGCGCCGATCACACACTATTAGTTATCGTGCGGTTGGCACTAAAACAGCTAGCCGGTTGGGAGTATACAACATATACATATGTATGTACGTAAGTACATGCCGGAGACGACGGAGGATGTGAGAAACTTTCGTTAATAACCACGGCAGCGGTAGCCAAAATTAAAGTAGCTTATATCACAGCATTAAAACTACATATTCGAATACAATTGTATGTATGTATGTATGTATGTATGTATTTACGGTTGTAAATTAGAATGCATCATTAAACTGTAAAGGTAAGTAGTTGAACATCTACAGAATATTCGTTACCTTTGAAATTATATAATTAAATGTAAGGCATGTTGAAGTCGGGTCGCTCTCCGCTCCACTGTCTACACATGCACACAAACACTTGTTAGCTTCTGAAACTATGAACAACGCATGCAGTTGACAAATTGATTTATGTATGTGAATTTTGTCACTTATTGGCCGATATTGAGCGGAAGCTGTGCGAATTGAGCGTTAAGCTGATGCCACATAAAACGTTTGCTTCGCTTTACGTGACAGATTCGCTTTGACAGCTAAGATGAATTGTATGAAAATGCACAAAGCATGCCACATAGATCATTGAAGCTGCAGCGCGAAGCGAAAAGATGGCCAACTCCCATCTTTTTGCGCGCTTTGACAATCGGCCGGTTTAATATTTATTTTGTTTCGTCCAAATTCGAGTATTCATGCAGAAACATAAAACTTAATTACATTGCTGATAATTTTAAATCAAAATAATTAAAATCCACAGCAACTTTGATGAGTAAAAAAGCAGTGCAAAATTGATTTCTTGGCGTTCATTGTGGCATACCTTTTGCGTCTGGCGCTTTGCTGGCAAATTTATAAATGTCACGCAAAGCTACAAAGTTTTATCTGGCATCAGCTTTAAGCTAAGCGCATACCCCACCCACGGAGCGCATATGCGCATATGTACAAATGTTCATATACTCGTATGCATAAATAAGTACATATTTGTGCGAATTTTGTAGCAGCGAGAAAATTTTGCAAAAATATAGCATATATTTTTGAAGTTTATTGCAGGTGAATCTATATTTGTATGTACATACATATGTATGTAGTAGCACTTTTGGCACAGGTATTAAACAAATTTACTTGTGCATGCAAGTATACATATGTATATTCACATATTTATGTATGAATTCGTACATACTTAACTGTATTTGATGGTGATAGCCATTTCATTTGCATTTAACATGTGTTGGTTTTCAGGTTTTCTCGAATAGGCTGGGAGTTTGGGGCGTATGAGTAACATTTGATTAAATTTGTGCACTGGCACGTGCATTTATGAACCAATTAAGATTAGTAGTTATAAAAAAAATATATATTTTCACTAAGAAAATGTGAATCAACTTCCTGCTACTTGCTACTTGTATGTACTTGCATAGCGATGTTCGTGTTTCCTCAAACATTCGGCACATTTACAATTAGGGGTTGCCAAACTGAGCCTGAAAAAGTACCACATATACAGCTAATAACTAAGACACATATATGTATACATACTTTCCGATAACTTTCCCACACTAAAGTTTCTGCATACACATAGATATTAAACATTTTTACTGGACAAAGCTTATTAGATTTGAACTAAGTCGAACCATTAATATGGATTTTCTGGAAATCTTGGTACCAATAATGAACACGATAGGTGGTACCGAAGTAGAGTTATTTCAACTTAAAGTTCATTTAGTTTATTTTTTTTTAATAAGGAACCATTTGACGTGCTTCTTAACCGATTGAATGATTGTTTTACAGTTCGAAAGGTGTTTTAAGGCGCCTCAAAGCGACCGGTTATTGGTTAGTGCAATATAGTAATGTAATTATCAGTCGTAAATATAGATAAAGTATTCCACAGTGTTTGTCAAGTTGGAAAGTGGTTTTCAACATGGCTTAACTTAAACCAAATTTACTAGTTCAAATAAAATTCAATTCAAAATCTGTTCGCTACAATTTTACGTATTCACGGTACCCTGGAAAAAATTTCAACCCTCAAGTTGCTTCCCTTCGCCGATTCCTGTTGCTACTATTTCGGGGGACCTCACTGAACATTTTCCAACAAAAAAAAAAGAGCAAAATCCGTCGGGCGGTTTTTTCTATAGTAACTTTTACTAATTCAAAAATTACACAGGCCAACAAAAATTGGAAAAAATTTCGTTTCCTAAAATGTTAATGCTGTTTTTGATAGACTTTTTCGTGCTGATTACGAGTCTGTAAGTATAAAGTTTCCATCCGCTTTAGATTTTGGGCAAAACGTGGTCAAAGTATCAAAAAATCGCGTGTTTTGCAATATTTGAGAAGCTCTAGCAAAAAAACAAAAGGTGATAGAACCTTCCACTTGGACTTAAATTAAAGCTAGAACTCTCAACTACTATCCCTGAAAATACCATTTTTGCACCTTGACTTGGTGGTCATTTATAGTCACTTTTTCAATAGCAAAAACTGATTTTGCCAAAGTTTATTGTTTAATATATGAGCTTGACGATAGAAGAAGAAGAGTCGATCGGTAACCACCGGACGTTTCTGGTTGACAGATTCGTTCAAACGGTCCTATTGCTGACAGTATTTATTCCAATTGATTTTTAGTTTATTTGGCAGAAGCTCAAAAAACCACACAACCTTTGAACCCCCACTACTGAAGTAGTTTGACGCGAAACATCACTTGAAGACCCAGATCGCTCGCCTCCACTTGTTATAACCAGTTATCACTATTTTCAAAAAAGGCTCGTTTTAGCAGCTTATCGGAGATATCTAAAATCGCGTGAAATGAGTTTGCTCAGGTGCTCTAGCTTGTTTAGGTGAAATTGAACACTTATTTAAATAATATGCTGTGTTTCTGCAAATCCCTCGTGCCGTGTTGCATGTGTGTGACTTGATAAATATTATAATTTATTCGCTATCAACCTCGATAGGCCTTCCTGATCGATTCAATTTTGGCATTGTCGTTTTCTTAGACCATCGCCACCGAACGAAACCTAACTCAATCCATGAATACCAAGGCGAACCTTTAAAGGATGTTGAAGCAATTTGAAAAGAAGTCTTTAAAATTTTTTGGATACATTCCAACTACATTAAAAACCAAAATAACCTAGGTTAGGTTAGGTTATTGTGGCAGACCCCACAAGGCGGACTCACTTAGCCATTAATTAGATTGTCTATTGTGATACTACATAGCACAAATTCTTTGAACGGTAACTACAGGTTCTCTATGTTAAACTAAGAGATGCGCTGAGTGCTCAGCTGATGTTAACTCCAGAAAGATTTTCGGGAGTGTTAATGAAATGCGCACTGAGGTGCATAAATCTTAGTCTAGCGAATGCCGGACAACTGAGAAGGAAGTTGGAACTTTTGCATGTAAGGGATTTTCAGCCAGCGCTCGCTAAGCCGATAGAAAGCCATATGTCCTGCAGCTGGTCGCAGGTTGTCAACAGAACTCCTATGGCCTCCCTGTCCGAGGTGATGGCCTTGAGGGTGCCCTGCCTAGCCAATTAATCTGTCCTGCTTTTTTAAGTGTTGTTCCAAATCGGCTTTCTTTGTAAGTATTTCGAGGCAGTTGAGATAGAGGTCAGGCACTTCCCGACCAGTTTCGATCGTACCATTAGCGATCCCAGTGCTCTGATTGCTGCTTGGCTACCAGAGTAGATATTTACCCTCCTAGGCGGAAAAATATTGGTGCGTTGCCAATCGGCTGTTTTTTTTTATAGCGGCCACCTCTGCCTGAAAGACACCTCCTCCTACTCACCCGCTCAGCTTCGAACCGTCCGTGAATATGCTTATTGAACCTCTAATCCAGAGACTGCCATTCTCCCCTTGGAGGGATGTGCGTGGAGAAGGATCCGTTTGGAGATAGAATGGGAACGCTCCAATCCTCCGAGCTTTTGAGCGAAACGCCACTACTTCGCCCGCAATGTCAACAGGTACGACGCTAAGCATAGCATGTAGAGTTGGAGTGGTCTGGAACGCTCCGCTGATTCCAACGAGTGCCGCCCTTTGCACGCGTTCTTGCTTCTTGACAAAAGTAGACCTTTCCAGTGCATTCCACCTGACAATAACCGCATAACTATAATTTACTCGGCTTGATTATGTTTTTATAACTTCCCACTCAGGATCACGCCCAAGAACTTGACCATGACAGAGAGAACAAATGAAACACCGCCTATTGAGGGAAGCTGGGAATGAGGCACTTTGTAGCTCCTGGTGAATAGTACGTGCTCCGTCTTTCCAGGATTTATAGAAAGTTCGGAGTTAGCAGACCTATTTTTGACCAAGTTCAGGTACCCTTGCATAAGATCATACAGAGTGTCCAAGAACTTTCATCTGACGATGAGCGCCACATTATCCGCCTAGTCAAAATTCTATTATTTAAGACTAATAAGAAATGCATTGCATTATTTATCGCGCCATGTAATGCATTAGCAGATATTTTTCCAACTGGGTAAATGTGTATATGCAGTTATATCTAAACTATGTTTTAGAATTAATGAATGAAATGCATGTGCCGCCCATGATGACAGTTATTAATTTTGCGTTTTTTTGCCAACGCTTTTGCCTGTTTTACATCTTTACATAATTTTCTGCATACAACAGTACTAATCTGGTTTAAAAATGTGTTACCAAGTGACTATTGGCATATTTATATATGTATATACTACATACGCCCATAAAATTATTTGTAGTTTATTTGTAGAAAAGATACACTTTCAAACCTACATATATATATATGTAGTACAAGCTGTGGCATCTATCTTTTGGAAAAAGTAATTTCTAAACCACAAGCTGCGTTCAGTCGCCCGCAAAAGTGATTGAGAAGTTGATCATTATTTTTGTTTAACTCCTTTTAATTTGCGTCGTTGAGATGTGCGTGCTAAGTGGGCATTGCTGCGACACGCTCCTTGGTAAAAACACTCATGCATGGCTCCTACTTTGCGTGGCAGTGGTCATCCTAAACATACATGAATATATACAGTGCCGGCCATTTTAATAGCGCCGCCTTTTGATCCTCAGTATTGAC